GCCTCTCGAGAGAAGGGGGACGGAGCCCTCTCCCAGGTCTCATGGAGTGTCCTCTCTGAAGACCTTCTGGTTTCCTCCTCCTCCTCAGAAGACAGTGATGTGGAGTGACCCTTCTCCTGGAAAGAAGATGCTGCCTCCCTGCGAGACTGCCCAGATCATGCAGGATTACAACAGGATAGACATTTCGGGAGGGAAAACAACCCAGTTGATGACAATGTTCCTCTCCAGAATGAACTGGGTGTATACTGTCAGGTTCACCTCCACAGAGCCACAACATTGGAAATTCCTCTCCAGGCTGGACTCACATATTTCTACAAGTAGCCTGACCTCTGGGTGTGGGTGGGACTCTGGTCTCTGAAGTGTGCTGCCGAGAAGCACCGGGATTGAAACTCAACTCGTTCCTCCCTATTCCTTACCATGGACCTGTAGTTGATTCTCTCAATAAGACCCTATGTTCATAACCATTTGCAGATGCCATATTGTGTGATGCTTTTAACTTTCAGCATTAAAATTGTTCTCGAAATTTTGCCTTTTGGGGTTTTGTTTTTCTTGCCGAGGACATGGGCATTTTCCTACGACATATATTTCTTTAGCAATCCACAAACCCAAGTGGCATTAACCTACCTCATCAGCTGTGCCATACAGACACTCTGTCCACCCACACCCATACCCACTTTGTGATCTTTGTGGCATTCATTCTGCAGTCTTCCCATGTGTCACTGAAGGCCTTGACCTAACTTCCATCCAGGAATCCAGGTACACTCAATACATCACATGACACCTTGGGCCCTCAAGCTTTAGGCTTCCTGGGGATTGTGCCAGGGGATTCCCCTTACCAAGAATTGCCTTCTCTCCCTAAAATGAGAATGTTCTGGTGTGGTTTGGGTGGGAAATGCACTTGGAACTACCAGAACTGATAAGCTGATCCTTTAACTGCAGTATGCCTTGCAAGGTAGATCATGAGGTTCTAATTATGCTGTGGCTGAGGCTATCCCTCCATAGTCTTTACTGGAATGTTAGGCTTCTAGCGAGGATCATACTGGTAGGGATAAGGGCTCTAGAATCATCAATGAAGAGACTTAGGTGCTCACCTATGACTTATATCAACTTCTGGGTCTGTAAGTCTCCATGTCTACATGAGTGGTGGAGAGGGGCTTTGTCACCACCCAACCAGTGGACCTATCCCAAGAGCCACTCTCAGTACTTAAATAATCACTAAGTGTGTTTTCTTTTCTTCATGACAAACTGTTCAAAATAATGTAAATTCACTACAAATGTTAAAAATTATAAAACTGAATTTTTAAGAAGATTATACAGATGATTAGTGTTTATCATAAAGTAAGTCTCTGCCCTAGACCAGGTTTCACTGGAATGCACTTTGTGGTGGGGTCTGGCAGGATCCCTTCAGTAATCCTCTTGCCTTCCTCTCCAAAGTGATAGAATCAATGTTTAGATATAACAACCAGGCAAATGCTACTATTGTGTTTCTGAGACAAGATGTCCAGTGGCCCACACTGAACCAGAGCTTGTTTCTTCCTGGACTGACATCAACCTCCTGCCTACATAAATGCCTTTACTTCTAAGGTGCTGAAGTGAATGACACTAACCAAGTGCCTTTGTGTTTCAGAACCATGTGGAGTTGTCCATCAGGGTCATTTCCATATGTCTCGCCTGTGCAAACATGGAACTCTTCTGAATAGGGACAATGGCTCACAGACCCCAATGGCTATTGTAAGGGAAGCATACCAAATCCAGTGGAAGGCATCAGTAAGGGAAGAGGCAAAGCTCCTTGAGTGTTAGGGCATAAAGGAAGGTTTGGAGGCCTCTCTAGAAAAGCTTCTTGGTCAGGGTATTTATGCTGACCCACAGGTTCAGGCTGAATATGACGACAATATACTGTCTCTATGCAGGAAAGCAGCATTAAATTCCTGGGAAAAGCTTCATGAGCCAGGAGAACGCCTAGAAGCTTATACAAGAATAGTACAGGGACCTACAGAACTTCCAGGATGGTAGAACTTCCAGAACTTCCAGGACCTACAGAAGTTCCAGGACTTCTTACAAAGGTTAACTAGGGCAGTAGAATTACAGGTAACAGATCCAGAAACAAGACAATCAATTATATATACAATAGCTTATGAAAATGCAAACCCTATATGCAAAAGAATACTTTTGCCTTTAAAGATCAGATCAGCTCCGCTAGAAGAATGGGTTTTGTATGAAGCAAACATTGACTATAATGTCGAAGATACTGGAGCTTGGGTAGGAGAAGCCATCTCCAAAGGTTTAAAATGGCAACAGGAAATTAAAAGTTCTAGAGGTGAGGATGTAAGTGTTTGGCAAGGAGAAGCACCTTACAGAGGTCAGCATAGGTACCAAGAGGCTAGAGGTTACTACTACTATGAACCAGAACGTTGGGTAGGAAGAGCCTTCCCCTGGAGCCCATGAAGGCACCAGGAACCTAGATGTTTCAACTGTGGTAAAATGGGACATACTAAGAGAAATTGTAGACAAATGAATTCTAACAATGCCTCATATGGAGGGCCACTGCATTCTGGAATATGTAAAAGATATGGTATGGGCAGACACTGGACCAATGAATGTAGATCGACCAGGGACATACAAGGAAACCCATTTAGGTCGGGAAACCCTGAGGGGGTACTCAAGAAGTCCCCCACATCGAGAAAGGTCGGGTCATTCCCAGTAGCAGTGGGAGACACTCTCACAGGACCAATATATAGTTCTTTGCCCATTGCAAAAAATGATACTGCTCTAGATGGTAGTCTGAATAGTGATTAAGAATCAAATGTGAATGGACAAAATGAGAAACGCATATTTTGGCAAACTTCTATTCATGATAAAAGACCTCAGTTGAAAGTGAAAATAAAGTTATTTCTGGCTTAGTAGACACTGGGGCAGATGTAACTATTATTACCCCCAAAATCTTGAACTCAGAAATGGCCTCTTAGAGAGGCAAATGTACAATTTTTAGGAATTGGGACTCTATCTCGAGTTCGTGGGTGTTAACTCAGTGTCTGCATTGGACTGGAAGGGCAGAAAGGGAAAATGAAACCATATGTGGCAGATAGCTATAAATCTGAGGTCATGATCTCTTACAGCAATGGAATACTCAGATTAATATTCCTCCAGTGTCAGATACAAATTATGAAAAAGATCTGGTAAGACGCTATGGAAAACGGTTACCAACCATCCATGCTGTACAGAAACTAGGTACAAATGA